GTAACACACTATGTAACAAGCTACATGTAACAAGCTATGTAACACACTATGTAACACACTATGTAACAAGCTATGTAACACACTATGTAACAAGCTAAAGTGCGCATGCACGGTCAATCTGTGCTGACTTAGCCCGCTTCAGAGTTTTGTGTGTGTACGCTACGGCTGTCGCGCGCCAGTTTGATACCATATCAAATTTTGCAGTCTACGGGGTATTTATCGTAACATTAGTCTCAGTTCTTTTTTTTCGTAGACCGGACTTCTATACGCAGTGTTCGAAATAAGGACAAAATTTTGCTTGTCCCAAGGACAAGCTACACGATATTTTTGCTTGTCCTGCAAAATTTTTGCTTCTCTTTCACTAATGCTATACTAATGTAGTAGAGCAAGGGAAGCAATCCTGGGGCCCGTTGTCAGAAACAAAATTAGTCTTAACATTAGTCTTAACAATAACATTTTCTCGTAGACCGTCGACAGCGCTTTGTTTCGTATTGTTATCAGGAAATCTGCTACGATTTTTCATTCAGGAACTTTGCAGCGTTTCTGTCGACGGTCTAAGAGAAAAGGTTAATGTTAAGACTAATTTTGTTTCTGACAACGGGCCCCAGGGCACCATTCCAAAGTGTTTAATGTGGAATAAAAGTGGATTTAATAAAATAAAAGTCCATATTTATTCTAACCACACAATAAAGATGTAAAATTACACAAATACCTCGTTTTATTAGCTGTGGGAAGGGCGCCAATACAACCGGAAGTGACGAATTTCGTCGTGTTCTATCTAAAAGATGAATCGAAAATACGAAACGGACTGCAAAAATGGTGGCGGCCAGCGATGGTAGAAAATAATGAAGAATTGCTCTAAAAAGCTGCTTGTCCAGCGGACGTTCTACTGTACAGGTCGTCTACTTGTCCTCCGTGGAAATGGACAAGTGAGGACAAACGGATAGCCGTTATTTTATAACACTGATACGCTGCGCTCGTAACTTCACCACGTTTCCGTCGACGGTCCACGAGAAAAAAGTGTTCACAGTTAAGACGTTCAGATGTTTTTCTTGCTCCCAGGTGGCGATATCTCCTCTCAATCTCAAGTCGCCGTCGAAGATCACGATGATACCGGTATCGGTGGCTGCACGTTCCCCCGTGCGCATCGCTCCCGCCGTTACCATGACGACGCGCGCGGGCACGAGCATCGTCACGGGGGGCAAGACGTCGACGATAATCACGATGTCGCCGTCGAAGCTTTCAATCAAGCAGGCGCCCAGCCAGGGCGTGGTGAGTAACGTGGCGCCATCTGTAGGTCC